TTGCTAAGTTGGGTGGCTTGATACTGAGATCCCACTGGTGTGAAAGAGCTTGAGTCCCATCATCTAGACTGCAGGCAGTCCAAGAGGGGATGCTACACGATGGTAGACATGGCCCTATCCCAATTTTTTTGAGATGCGCTGCTGCCATCAAGTTCTAAATGAGTTCATATTTTTCATGAAATGGTAAAATGTCTCACTTTCAACATCTGATATGTGTTCTGTGTTCTATTGTGAATAAAATGTGGGTCTATGAGATTTGCAAATCATTGCATTTTCTTTTTATTTACATTTATTTACATTTTACACAGCGTCCCAACTTTTTTGGAATTGGGGTTGTAATTTACATTACGTCCATGCCGAACACCAGGCTTGTTTTCCATCAATGAATGCAGCATTGCTCAATACTTTGAGCTACGCATTCATGATGTGATAGGGAATGGTTTAGAAATTCTTCCCACTACATTCTCACCTTTATTTACCCATGATGGTCCCCAGACGTTCTTGTTATGAGATTACATTTGGACTTTTGAGACAAACTCAAAAATAAAAAAAGAACAGTTAAAACAACTCAGTGAGTTTTCTTTTTGTATTTCTGCTTTTTAAGGGGAGAAAAAAAGCCTACTAACAAGAGTTTTTTCTTGTGATGGAGAAATGGGAGAGTCACTCAGCTCTCTTTGCTCAACAGCAATTTCCCCTGAACGTATAATTCATTTTCTCCAGTCACCTTGGATAATGAGACCGTGCCGCATATGCGACAGGCAACACTAACAAAGAATGTCAGCTTTCAGGACCAAACAGCCCCACCTGGGAACACAACAGCCTTGATTATATACAGCTCTTACCCAACCAGTCAGACCCTTTTACAGCGAGAGCCTTGCCACACTCCTCTGAGCTTAAACAGATGGAGAAATGGACCACATCTAATAATGAACTCGACAGCCATTTCTAAACCTCAAGATAAGGCTGCAGACTTTAAAACTAGCCCCTAGACTATTAGGCTGTTTCACAAAGCAGTCAAGCCTGTTCAAAAGGAGGAGAGCTAAAGGACAATCCTGTTGAACAATCCTCATCTTGAGTAGGCCTGTGTCAGTATTCGGTACTTCTGTGTACTGCGGTATTCAACTTGTTTTCAGAGCAGTTTCAGAAATTTAATAGATGTAGCTGTGGTTTTAAAACTGCCACAACACAAATGCATTATAATCATGTTCAATCATGTTCCTGTTATCCAGCACTATTCCTCAATCAGTACCTCACCTCAATAATGCTTTTGTGGCTGAATACAATCAAACCCTCAGCAATGTTCCAATGTCTAGTGTAAAGCCTTATTAGAACAGTAGAGGTTGTTACTGCAGCAGAGGGACAAACTTCCTATTAATGGCCCTGATTCAGAAAAAAACTCTTGGACATACAGCGTAGCTTACAAGCTAACAGGCTCCTCCACAATAGTCAGAGATAGGATTTCAATTGAAATATTTACTGAAGATTCACTGCATCACTGCAACATACAAAGTAAAGAATGTTACAGGAAATGTTATAGGAACGTCTTTTACACGCTTCAAATGTCATGTTTAGGCTGGTGCTGCCATAAGTAGTAGTAAATCCAGATTTGGTTCAGAATTGGTCCAAACCTGCTATATTAGCCTTAGCATAGAATTAGTATGTTAAATACAAGATAACCTTTGATTTGAACTGTATCTGCATGATTATATCAATTAACTCCTTCACGTGTCATGCTGGATTATCCTATCTGACAGTGGTAGTAAATTGACTTTTGCAAATGATAACAATTTGGCTATTAATGCTACTATTTAATACAGTGTCATCCAATTTTATCCTCAAAGGGCCGGTATGGCTGCAGGTTTTCATTACAACAAAACAGGAGATCACAGGATCAGTTCTTCGAAGACTGACCAGTTGATTAAGCAAGTAGAACCAGACGTGGTCTGCATGTTTGAAATGAAAACCTTTCAGTGCTTCATTTAATTTACATAATTAATGGTACTCTAGGACATGTTTTTTTAGGAAGGGAACTTTAGGCAAAATTGGGTGACTATTTGAAAATGTTTCTGAATGTTCTATGTATGAACTGATGGTGTTCAGATCATCTTTACAGAGCCTTTTAATGATAGTTTGTTGCTGACTAAGGCATGACCCACTTATGGAAGCCCACTACATGAAAAAGTATGAAAAAGTAAAAATACAAATATGTTCCTGCCTGAAGCCCTATTGAGCATCCACTGCCCTCTGTGGAACTTCCAGATCCTCTCTGGAACTGAGGAAAAAACAAAGAAAGACAAGAGGGAAGTGGGGAACTAAGGAGTCCAGTACAGTGTGGTGATATCCCTGCTTTATACACAAACTAAACTGAGTTGGACCAGATGTATTTGAACAGGGAAATCACCACACAGTGCTGTTCCCCTCCTCTGCACTAACCCATCTCCTTCAGACTCACAGGCGGTACAAGGTCAGACTTACCAACCAAGAATACAGAAATGACCACTGCAGTGGTTGGAGTGATAATGGCACAAACAACCAATGAGCCCAGCTGCAGTAGGCCATGAGAGTGTAACACACATTAGTGTCTATGAGGTCAGTGCAGAGTACAGAACTAATTTATCTTGGTATATTTCAGCTTATTTTGCTGAGCTGAGACTTTGTAAAGTTGTTACATGACTCTACACTACCTCAGTTAGAGATGGCCTGCCTCAGCCCAGGTTTTATTCAGTAGCAGTGATGTTTCCGTCAATAGCATCCACTAAAAGACTGAGTTGCAATCTGCATTTGATGCCAACAGTTCACTTTAAATCCTTTAAATGTTTTGATTTGATAGATCGATAGCTAACCACTCTTGACCTCTTTTACTCCTCTGCAGTGTGCAATGAAAAAAATGACACCTTCAACACCACAAGCATAAGCCAGCAGAATGACTGACTCAAAGTAAGTTAGTTTCAGACAAAATAGAGCTTCTTACAATAGCAGCGATGCTACACTACACTCTTGAAAAAGGGTTCTTCAGTAAAGAAAATGGTTTTATATGTAACCATGAACACTCAAAGAACCCTTTGCATGATTAAAGCGTTCTTTGCATGGTGAAATGGTTCTTCAGATTGATGGAGAATGTGCTGTTGATGGTTCTATATAGAACCTTTTTGAAAATGGTTCTATATAGCACCCAAAAGTGTTCTTCTATTGTTATGATGTCAAAGCTTGTAACAACAGAAGGGCTCTTTTGGGTGCTATATAGAACCCTTTTTATAGAACCCATGTATAGCACATTCATGCACATTCTCCATCAATCTAAAGAACCTTTCATGATGCAAAAAAACCTTCAATTATGCAAAAGGTTCTTTGAGTGTTTGTGGTTCTGTATAGAACCATTTTCTTTACTAAAGAACCCTTGAAGAACCATCTTTTTTAAGAGTGTAGTCGGTGAGAATTCAGTCGTGCTCCACACTGTTTTGGTTAAAATGTGAGAGTGGACATAGCCTCACCCCTACTAACCCAAAACAGCACAAAGGGACTTGTAAAGGGATATGTAGGAATAACACACTGTGGTTTCTGGTATAGAACTATAGTGCAATACATCTTGCCTTTTTTCTAAATAGTTCTTTAGAGGTCTGGACAACTGATCAAGACTATCTGACAGTGTAAGTGGTCTTATATCATTTTTAGCTTCAAATAATGAATTAAAATAATTAATTAATAGGACACTATTTTTAAGTAAGACACTTGTTGTCATCTCTGGCAATGTGAGGGAGATTAACTGATTTGTTCATTTGAATGCGCTCATTTACAAACCCAAATAAGTCAATGACTTTATGCAGCTCCTTAATGATTGTTTGTTTAAGTTCCACTTCTGATGAATATGAATATGCTGTGGCCCACTCATGCGGAAAAATATGAGAAATTTAAGGATAGGAAGAATACAAAAATGTTCATACCTGTATTACAGAGGCCCAGTACCACAACCCTCTTGTGGAACCTTCCAATGCTTTCCGTAATCTGCTTCTTCTGGCTCTGCCCCTTTACCGTCATCATGCTTCTTTTTATTTGTATGGTCACCCCAGTCAGTGTGCCTTAAGTAAGGCTTGTTTGCAATTGCAGCAATGGATGGCAATAACCATTCATTTCAGGCTATTTCTTATGTGTATTTAAACTATTGTATGCTACCTTTTTATCCTTGTTTTCTGCTTTCAAAGTGGCTTTGGCTTTAGGCTGCTGGTCTCTTCATACTCATTGCTTTAACATTAACCCTGACAGCCTGTGAGACAGACTAACCTGCCTGTTCTGACTGTGATTTGAGAATAAACAAACCTCACTGTTATATTCAGCCATGTAAACATGTCTGGCCCCCAAGTGTTACAGCTAAAAGTAAACCTAATTTTGAAGCTAGCTCTGTTAATTTAATTACTTCTACTCATCTGTAAAACGAGGAATTGTACGATTTATTATCATACTGGTCCTGCCGTGTTGAAGCACCATCATGTACTGGATGGTGTGCACCTGCATCCTGTTTACTCTGTGTCTAGTACTGTATCAGTGTGACTGCGCAGACCTTTGTCCCTCTCTTCATCTGCTAATTAGATATGAAATACAGAGCATGGCATCCTCCCAAACACAACAGTGAGTGGATGAGCACCTGCTTTTCGAAATTGCTTTTTGTTAACATTTGCCAAACGAGGACCTGCGGGCATCTTAATTAAGACTTTTCCACATGCCTAAAGGACATGAGCTGAGGCACATCTATCTATCGATTCATCAGTCTATAGATCTACAAACAGCTGACAAATTAAAGGAAAAACTGTATGATACTGCATGATATGATTAAGCAATTAATATACTTGCATGTATAAAAATGCTGAACAGGTCTAGATGACCTCAATTTTTGGATCAAAATGGCAAAAAAAAGAAGTGACTTCATTTTTGGCACAGGGGGGCAGGAGCTTCATTCCCAAAGACTGATCGACTGGCTAGTGTTTCAATAAGAACAGTAAACGAAGTAGCATCAAAATTTAGATCTTTAGGAAAGTCATCAAGAAACAGGGTTGGAAATTGGGTTAGAAAGCGTTGGGTTATTCAATGACATGATGCTTATGCATTTGTGTGATACATAAGGAAAAACAGAAGAGCAAGTGTTCCTCAGGTGAACAAGCTGGACATGATCAGACTGTGTAAGCAAGAACAGTCCGTCCACAACTACACAGAGAGGAATACTTTAATCAAGATGTTGAGCATGAACCCCTCATTACAAAGACGAATGCACATTTGAGAGTTCAGAGGTGTAAAAAAACAGGCACTGGTCAGATAAGTCATCCTTCAAAATATTCTCCACAAGGGGGAGAGTGCATGTGTGCCGTACATGAAGAGAACATTACAGGACAGAATGCTTGACCACTACAGTGAGGGGGGTTCAGTGGCTTTGTTATGCTGGTTTGGCTGGCATGGTTTGGGTCATCTGTGTCCCTCTTTGAAGGAAAGGTCAATGTGACTCAGAGTTATTCTGATCTAACACAAAGAAGAACTGCTAAAAACTGTATTGGCTTTAGTTAGAAAAGTTTTATTTGTTGTACTCATTATTGATTGAATGTACTTTCCATCCGTTCCATTTTTTATGCAACTGTACCTCTCTGTTATGATCAATAGAAAACAAAAACAAACAAGTAAACAAGAAACAAAAACAAACAACAAGATTGTGAAGTATGAATGAGCGCACAGGATCACTTGTGCATTTAAGTATCTTAAAAACAAAACAACAACAACAAAAAATAGCCTAACACGACCAGAAACACAAGGTATCCTGACTAGGTCTCCCGGAAACTCGTAACCTCTACAAAAACGACATCCCTTACATTAAAGAAACATCGTCTCAACATACTGGTTCATTTGGAAAACACCGATTCACACAGCTTTCAAAAATCCTTATTATTACAAATGTTGAAACGTCTCTCTTGTGTTTTACAAATCTGTATCTGTTTATAAAAGATGCTCTGACCCGAGGCCACAAAGGACCCCAGAGTGCTGTGCCTTCAGAAAACAGACGTGAAAGAAACCAAAAACAAAGAGCGAGAGAAATACAAAACACTCTTTTTTTCACACGCTGTGCGGGGTGAAATAAAGCACAGTCTGTCTTGGGGCTTTCTCTGTTATTTAAACACAGTACCGAGGCCTGACTGAGGCTGTAGCTTTCTCACAGGGTTTTCCGAACCCTAATTGTGCCTAGGTGTAGGCTAACATAATCTACAAATGCTGATCTTCCTCTGTGAGCGCTTCAACATTCAGGAACTGGCGAAATCTGTTCCTGGGAAACTAGTGGCCATGGTCTATAAAACAGGAGCGCTGAAAGGTCAGCAACGAACCCCGCTGTAGATTGATGAAATATTCAGCACAAACCCAGCATCAAACTGTGTGTGTGGAGAGAATAAAAGGTATGCCAACATCTACATCAGCATTTTGGTCCATGTACGCTTTCAGTACTCGGTTCTGAAAATGGCAGCTACGTACTTTCAGGCCACTTGATTATGCAATGTTATGGATACAAAACATATGCATCGATGTTATTTTATGAATGCAAGGCAGTTGAGAAAAAAGCCTGTTGATTTATTTCCAATAGACAGATGGTTGATGTAAAAAAGAATACGGTATCAAAAGGATGCCCGGCTTTGGCTCAGCACACAGTACAAACCCAAGATAATACTATATACGAAAAACAGAAGAATGACTTTCAGCTCCTCGGTGGCTTCTCCTCAGTATGACCAGACTGTGAATAATAGGGGCAAACAGTGACAAGCTCATTAAAACACATTTAAACACAGTAGCTTGTGACATTTTCACTGATGTCCTTCCGCCAGCGCTCTGGATGAAACTGCAGATTCCAACGTGCGACAACACGCTCCCAAGTCAATCTCGCCACAAATGAGGTATGGCACCTTAAATGAGGCGTAGCAGCAATGCAAGGTTGTTGAGGTGAAAGAAAAAAAAATCACAGCAAGATAATCAACAAGTTCAATATGCTATGCTCTACTGATCAACAACAAATCAAATTTTCCCCTTGCCCAGGTTAAGATTTACATCAGAGTATTTACACTATCAACAGACTGACAAATTGATATGTTCTTTCCTTTTTTTAATTAGGCTATGTGAAGTTAATGGTGGAGGGCAAATCATCCACGTCGTCTGCTAGTACTGGGCTGTGTCACTATCAGTGCGATAGGCTGCTTATTCAATGAATATGATGGGCTGCTTATTCTCATATCTCCTTTCTATTAATCGTTATGAGCCACGTAACAATCTGTGCAAAACAATCACGTCTTTTATGCGAACCCATTTTCATGAAGAAAACAGGGTAAGAGACGACAGCTGTAGAACACTGACATGAACCAAAATATTGCACACTTAAGACAGAAGTAAACAGGTCTCGTACTGGCACAGCATGGGTGTCAAAACTAGACACAACTTTTTTTTGTTTTGTTTTGTTTTGAACCCCATCATCTGAATGACCGCTGCTGTTTGTCGAAAAAGTGTCCCTCTCAGCCTCTTATTGCACCACGTTTGTCTTCCTCTCCTGTATTCTTTTCTCTCTTTTTGATTTATTTTCTGTTTTCATTAGAAAAGAGTTTCAGAATGGCCGTTTTTTGCCGAGAGCAGTCCGAGAGTGTGTTTTGGCAGTACGGTGTGTCCGCTGCGGGAGGAGGGGTCAGGCAGTCGGACGTGTGGGCAGGTGGGCAGACGGGGTCAGGGTGGGAAGGGGTGGGGGTGGGGTTCCATACTCAGACGCCCGTGGACCTGCTCACATGCCCGAGGCGCCAAGGCCCATGGCGGCCGTGTGGCTCATGCACGGTAACGTCTGCACGGCTTTGGGGAAGTCGTGGGCGACGATGCGGCCATTCTCCCCACCGCTGCCGTTTCCACTCATCCGTGTCAGCGTGGAGCAGCGCATGGCATCGTTAATGGATTGCTGGGATGAAGACAATGGCAGAGTTAGGACACAGCAATGGATGCGAGGGCAGAAGTGCTTGAAAGATGTTGGTTTTAGTAAAGGACACAAAGAGATGATTCAAGCTGATAGTCATGGAGGTCTACTTTCCTTCTCCAACCCAAACACATCTCATTCAGTTAATGAAGAGCTTCTGAGGTTATTAGAAGCATCAGGTATGGCAGACTAGGGTTAGCTCTATACTCTGCAGTTTGGTACATCTCCAGCAGTTGGGTCAGAGTGATGTAAGAGTTCATGTTTGACATAAAATGCTGGAGAACATGATGTTTGAGTAGTTAGTGAGGAGAGGTTTTTACAACAATGCTGGTTCTTGTTTGCAATCAATCTAGCAGCTTTAAAGTCCCAATTCATTTTGCTATGTCTATCCCTTTGTTGCATGATACCAGCCATCTGGCAGGCTAAACGTACATAATGTTCCCTGGTGTCAAAAGCTCTTTTTATGCTTTTTGAAAATGCCAGCAACCTTTTACATTGTGTGAACATTTCATGATGAATGGACCAATAGAAATGGTACAAAATTACTTGCAATAAAGCAGGGGAACAGAGGGCCCGAGTCGAGCACAGTCTGATGATTTTCCTGCTCTAGCACACCACCTAAACCTCATCATTAACTGGTGAGTTGAATCAGCTGTTTGAAAAGCCAAGAAAGTCACAAACTGCTGGAATTCACCGCCCCTGTAATAAAATCTCATTACATTAACATACATTAACAGTTAAGAGCATTTTACCCCTAAATCGCTTACAACTACCATTTCGAAGACAAGCACCAACTTTTGGGCACCAACACATAACTTGGATAGTGAGAGCAGTTACTGCCCTTCAGTAATTCAGTAAAAAGTCTTCCCTACAGTTCTTTTATACTTATAGCATTCTTTAAGCTTCCCTGAAACTAGCCATATGACTTAAGTATTCAGTGCAGTTGTCTGCTTTGTATGCAGTGTATTTTGTCACTTGAACTTGGGGTGACTTATTGATCTTTTCGCTGTTTTGTCTGGAGCACAACTTTTTGATTATGGCAGTAATATACCAAAGTTAACTAAAACCTTTACTAAAATGAAAACAAGCAGTGAAAAAACATGTTGGTTTACTGTAATAAAAGTAAAAACTGCTAAACTAACTAAAATGAAATGGAATTATTGAGAAAAAAACTTCTGTTTTGTTTTTTCACTGCTTGAAAGAGAGTTTATAAGTGGATCCCTTCTGTGTTTGGCTGTCTTTAAGGAAAGCTGGAGCTGAGCTGAGCTCGGTCTACTGCTGTGTTAATACTATTCTACCCTTCTCAAATACCTGTAACCACAGCATTCATCAGAATACTAACAAATTAAAAAACCTGCAAAATTAGAACTAAATATAGGTCTACCTAATAATGGAGCCCATGAGCGTATATGTGATGTGAACTTGTTTGGGAGATCATATTAGATCTTTCTCCTTTATACCTGACTCCATTCTACACTCACAACCAATCTGACACCACACAACAACACTGGTCAGGGGGTTGAACGACTGTTGAAAGGTGTGAAGCATTTCCTCAGTTTGCTACAGTGATGCGAGACCCCAGGGGCTTTGTGAGAAACGGAACTCTTTTATTGCTTTTATTGGCCACGCGTCAGTCTATTATAATCAAAGCTAGCGGGCTTGAAACCAGCTAACGATGCGTGCATTTGACTTGCATATCTTCAATCTTGAAATGATTTCATTGCACTACACTCCAATGCGCTGGGAGGATTAAGTTATACGCCTGACGCAGACTAATTAGCTCGCCCGGAGAGGCGCCGAGTCCCGCTTTACTAATACGAAAAACGGACAGCTGTGAAATGTAACTCTTGTCAATCGAATTAACAAAGCAAATCCGCTTAAATCTGTTCTATTATAGTGTTATGCCAGTGTATAATTCCTGTCTAACTCTGTTAAGAGTGCTGCTTTGGGTAATTGCCTGTCATAGAGATATTGATCACAAGAAAGCACAGAGGGATCTGCAGGTGAAAGCGGTGTTTGGGGATGTTCAGACGACGAGCTGCCAAGAGGACGGAGGTGTTTGATTTGTTACATGATGCTTCCGCACTCATCAGTAGATTAAGCTCAATTAAAGTAAACAGAGCTTAAATCAGGTCTCAAGTAATTACGGTTTAGATCCTGACAGATTAGTGAAAAAGCAGAAGGTGCGTTTAGCATGATTTTCAGAGTGGATGCCACACTTAGCATGTTTTCGAGTGGCACGTTATGGGGAAGCAGACGACCTGTTTGTTTTTGCATAATCGTCAGTCTAGACAGACTATTTTTGCAGCGGTGGCGGAAAACATGGACGTGCGGCGTCTGTGGGGACTTGTGGCTCGGCTGACAGAGGCTAATGTGCATAACCAAAGCTCTGCAGGGCAGCCAGAGTACAGGAGGAGAAAAAAAACAAAGAGGTAAACAGAATAAGAACGGAGACAGACACAGAAAGAGAGAGATGGAAAGAGAGGGACAGAGTGAGTGTGGGGGGAAGGAGAAGAAAGGCAGAGAAAGTGAGTGAGGGAGCATGAGATACTGAGGGCCAGATGTACTAAGCCTTTTGTGTCAGGTTGCATGTGCAAACATGATCCATTGTGCTCGAAAAAGCATGCATGTCATATACAAAACTGGTGTACGAGCCTAAAAGCAAACCTAGAAAACAAAATGTCTTTCCCTCCTTCATATAATCAAGGGAGGAACGCACAAAACATGGGAGGATGACGCAAACACAGGTGAATTATAGATATATGATGATATCAGAACAACACTGGGCTTCTGTGCTAAAACAATAAGAACTATGCATTTTATTAGTTTTAGTGTATTTGAACCCTCTGTGACATTGATCCAAACATGTATCTAGGATTGTTTCTATTTAATCCTGCAAATAAACAGCATAATGTTTCAGAATTTAGAAACATTCAAAACAAAGAAAAGTTATGATAAGTAAAAAGAAGAAATATTTTAAATCCTGCACTATTTCTAAATCACTATGCAAATATAAGCACATTTTTGTGACACTGACCATGTAAGGCACAAACAGATCAGATTTTGTATTTTAAGTCTTTTTCCTTCCACTGAAGCCCGTGTTCAGAGAACATCAGGTGGACTTGATCTACTCATCAGAGCCTTTCATCACTGTTAGTGATCAGAGTCCATGCCAGCTCGAAAGCACGCGGTCAATAAACAGAGAAATTCTGGAATTCATGTTCAAATTTCAAATATTCTACAGTTCACTCAGATTGTTATGCTGATAATATCATTTGTAACCAAAACTTTGTATTAAATCAGAGAAGAATATAAAACAGAAGCATTTTCACTGATGGTCTCCAGTGAATACTGGATATTGGCATATTAGAAATGGAACAGAAATATGTGTATTTTGTATATATGTAAAGTAGGGGTGACAAGCTAGAGCAAGTTTCAAATGCAATGTTCTCCACCCCTTTAAAACAGGCATAATTTAGCCGTAGTGTCTCAAAAGTATGTTGATGGAAGACGTCCTTTATGGTGGCAGCAGTGGCAGGAACATGCCTTGAAGAGGTGCTAAAAGACTATTAATCAACAGAGTAACACTATTTCAGAACTCAGATGGTGGCTAGGTCCAGAAACAGTGAAAATATATTTATCTAATATGTTAGCACATTGTCTACTGAGCAGAAAAACCTTGTGTAAGGGTCTTCATCTGCATCTAGTTAGCTGTAGTTGTAGCTCACATGTGAAGACGCAGCCTCTGTTGCGAACATAAATTTAGTGAATAAATGCTTTGTCTGCCTATAAGGTTTAAAACGGTGGTGTATTTCCTTTATTTTTGCTGTTGCTGGCTGTGTAGACCTTAGCTTGCTAACCAGCAAGTTAGCAGAGTAAAGTAATATAATTATATCAGCAGTCATGTATAACAGAGATACATAAATCCCAGTTGAAACATAGCAAACTTAATGTTGTAGTTCTAAATTTTGAAGTATTTTCAAGTATGTTTTTGCTACAGTTTCAATGAAGTTTTTCCACCATTTTTCGGGGTTCAAATATGGAAATGTGTTGGACAATTTAGTTAAGATAATTGACATAACAAAGTACAGGAATGGCCCTTAAGGCTGCATTGAGGACTCCCTCATAGGGAAATGGTGAGGCTAAGTTGATGAGGGCATGTCAAAATGAGTACTGGAATGGGTGAATGGTTTCACCTGAGCATTTTAAACCCTGCTCCTCATATGCATAGTACAATCAGTACAGCCTTAAAAGTAAAGGTTCCTGGTTTTTGGATTAGACATATAATTCTAAAAAATGTTTTCATTGGTTATAAACTTTATGTACATTATATGGCATCTTTATTTAGTGTAATGGGTCCTACATGCTGTTTGCATGATTAGCTACAGCGTTAGTAAACTGAATGTTAATTGCAGACGCATTGCAAGCGCTTATCGCCGACACACATTTTTTGCTGTGCCTTCTTGCATTTGTATATCTGGCCCTGAGAGAGAAGAAATAGAGGCAGATGGAACAGACAGAGAGAAAGTGAAACTGGAAAGACGACTGACAGAACCATTGGCAAAAGGAATTAAAAAGAGCGACGGGTCAGTGTGTGGGTCCAGCATAAGCTTGGTTTGGGTGATTGCAGTTGGATGGGGTCAGGTTAGGATGGGATGGGGACTAAAGGTCCGGTCTCATGGCTCCTACCCCAGAGTGCTTTATATCTTAACTGTGTGGCCACTGTACAGGCTGTAACTCTGCAGCTCTGTGTAACTGCCCTCTAAAGCTGTGCATTGAAAGGCCTGAGGAGGCACAGCCACCTTCATCCTGCGAGACTCAGTCCTGGACTTATAGCAGAACTCCACCAGCGCCACCAGCATGGCCAGGCCCAGACCGCCAATCAGGATGTAGAAAACACCAGCCACGTTACTGAGGCTCAGAGCGCTTGTCTTGTCCTACAGGAGGAGACAAAAGCACGTCAGAGAAAGGCACTGAAGACAATACGCACAGATACTCTACACATACTAGACATTCAGAAAAACACAACAACAGCAACAGCAACAAAAAAAAAACGCAGACTAACACTCAAACGCTCACACAGACACACTCATTCACTTGAATACACTTGGCTTAATAAAAGCACTCATCCACAGACTGGGCAGGACGCAGATGGACAAATCTACACACGTTCGCTCAAATATCACTAATATGCACAGACATGCACAATACAGACATTTGCTAAAACAGATCCAGAAACAACACAGAATTTAGAAATCCTTAAACATCATTCTAGCAAATGCAAACATGTAAACTGCTGAAATGTGATCTCTATTGGTGTTTTTCCACTCCACAAAGTACTGGAAACCATCAAGCAACAGGAAAATGCTTTTATTAATGGACATCGGTCCACTACTGTAGATTCCAGTTTTATAGTTTTTGTTCAAGACTGGTAACAACAGCATCTGTCTTTGTTAACACCTGCTGCTAAAGTCAATGACAATTTAGCAAATTATTTGGGGTCATTCCCATGTTTCCAAGGTTCCATGTTCCCTAAGCCCTTTATTTTCTCATTGAAATATCTAGGACATAGCCCTATATTCCCATGTTCCCTCACACAATTTTTCTTGGGAGAGAGCTCTATGTTCCCATGTTGCCCCAATCATAGTTCCTCAACATGAAAATAAGAGTAACAATCATACATTTGGTATATTTACGGACTATACAGTAAAAAAAAAACTGAAACTGTGTTTATGTACAAGCTATTTCCCTTGATAAGACACACTGATAGAACATTTCATTGAACAAGAATGAGAAACTATTCAGTTATAGGCAGTATTTAAAGGTTTTTACCCATGATTTTATTCCTATTCACTTCACATTAACAACATCGCAAAAATGACCAAAGTTAGCATTCATGCTACCAATCCTTTCATACATTTCCTTAATGTATCGAATTGAGGTGTGATGTATCATAGAACCCTGGGAACATACAGGACTCACACAGAAGTATGCTCATAATTCTTTACCATTCCAGGCGAAGTCATAAAGCATTATGGTAAGTGCGCCAGAACGTAAACTAGAATCAGAAAGCTAACACAGACACTATTAGCATTTGTGTTAGCCTCCACAGAAAGTGTTTTTGCTCATATATATTTACACTTTACAGAGAAAAATGTAAACTTTTCTTGATTCTACATGTGTCTGTGTAAATGTGGATATTTCTGAGTGTATGTGCACAGACAGTGTACATCATTTCATATCAAACAATAAGTTAAGCTAACTAGTATGCAAGGGAGCAAATTAACCAAGTGACATAAAATTACCAAAAATACAACTGAATTGTCTTTTAAAGCTAATAAAAATGTTATCTTAATAACGGTTACTATTATGGTGCAGCTTTCTGAAAGAAAATGAACAAGAACTGGAACCGTTCTGTTGGTTCCCATTTGAGTCAGTTCTAGTTTTTAAACGTGCAGTGGAAAAACACCCTAAATAAAAAGACATTTAAATGATTTCAGAATGATTTCTAAGGAATAAACGTTACTTAATCATTATTCACCTTTTTTGAGATCACACTCTGTTGAACCATTATCACATATTACAATGCTAATTGATTATCAAACCTTTTTATAACACATTACCAGAATACATTGCGATTAATATCATTATTAGACAAATCCAAACATGCATTCATGCACTAACACAAGCAAAGAATCTGAGCTAACCTCAAGATTTACATCATAAACAACTTTACATCATCTGTGCTTCTCTTTTTTATATCTTTGTCAACACAAGCCACACTTTATTAAAACACAAACAAACAGTATAACAACTGACGGGGTCACATGACTAGTAATTTCAGTGGTGGGTACCCATGCAGGTCAGAGTGCGACTCATGGGAAAAATCCAGTTGTGGACGGTGAGAAGGAAGGGTCTTAGATTAAGTTGTTGGGGAAGTTACAACATAGTGCCATTTTTGCATAGTGAGAATCTGTCAGTTATAAGGGGAGAGAGGGGCTTAACTCGTCAGGCCCTTGCTTGGTTATAACATTACAACAGCGGGCAGTAGGGTCACCTGAGTGTGTCATGCATGTGTGTGTGATGAGGCTAGTGGACAGGGCCTTAAACAGTCAGAGTCCACCGGGGTCACATCCAGGGTTGCCAGCTGTCTGTAAAATTACGGACAGTCCTTAAAAAATTATGTAAAAATGAGCATTTACGAACATAAGATAAAAAGCCTAGGCCAATTTGCAGGTCAGTCAGAGATATATAGTATGCAAAAGTTTGGGCACCCCTGACCAAATTACGTATTTTGTTGTGTTTTTATATGAAAGTAGTAAACAGAACCTCTGCAGCAAAATATTTTTTAAAATCTGAAATGTTAGTGCACAGTTACTTCATATTAGATTAACTTAAAAAGTCTGTGTAAAGTTTTGACACCTTACTAAGACAGTACTGTCTTCACACTCTCACTCTTGCACACCTGTGACTTACTGTGACCCCTATCTCTGTGCTTGGTTTCAGGCTTTACAAAGTCTCTGTGTTATTTACTTGAGTTCTGAGCTGTTTTTTCTTTGTTTTGTATTTTCTTGTGGTTGATCCTTGCTTTGTTTCCTGGTTTTTGTATTATGGAATTGTCATCAGCTGACAATCCCTAATCACAATTCTTGACCTCCCCAACCAGTGCCGATGAGTCATTTAAGGCCTAACAAGTTAATTACATTCTGAGTCTTTACACCTGGAGGGGTTTCTAAACCTTTGCACATACCACAAAGTTAATCAAAAATAAATTAACTTAACACACTCACATTTGCGGAACATATTATTTTTCAAAATAGTCTGCTGCAGAGGTTTGAAAAGCAGAAAAGCTTTTTTCACTTCAAAAATGGCCAGAAGTGCACAAACTTTAAGAAATGTCTGATTGTGAGTTAGACTGCACTCATTCCAATGGGTCTGGACAAAAGATTACGACTTTTTGTAACATATATGTGTGGACAGAGATAACAGTAAAAGTAAAAAAAAAAATTATTGCTTATTATTCAGGCGGAGTGAGGGATGGGCGGAGCCATGCTAATGCTGTGAAGCAAAATGCTAAAAAACTGCTAAAGCCTGTGTACAGCTAGCAAGTATACCTCATTTCTTTGTTAAAGAGTCTCCAAAGATTTTCACTTGTTAAGATCAAAATAGGGGTGTCAGTAAAAAACACTGAAAGTCAGTAAAAAAATTAAAAATTTAAGTACGTCTAAAAATGTAGTTTGGTGCAATAATGCATCGCAAAAATAGAAAAGGAGAAGAAATTTAAACTAAGAGATCATAAAGTCTTCAGATTTTTTTTTCCAAAAAACAAGTGTAACTGGGCAAACTTACAAAGACAGTCCAAAAACTGTCAATAAACTGTCCAAATTAGTCAGTCAGGTCAGTAAAACACATTTAAGGTTGGCAACCCTGGTCGCATCCCAAACGCATGCACACTCCATGGGCATACAGAGAGGAGACAACAGACAGACTCGGTGCAAAGGGAAGGGGCCCATCTCTTACTGAGCGTGTGAACACTGCAGTCACACCTGCCCACTCTCTCCATGCTCACATTTAGTCCACTCCACTGGGCTAGTCTGGACAGAGCTGTATTGATACACTTACCCCGCAGGAGTTGGTATAATGGGCTTTCTCTTCACGACTCCTGCCTAATTAGATCATTATTTACCTATGATTCAGTAAAGATAACTTTATTAAGCTCAAATTACAATCTCCACTGCCCCCGAGAAACATGAGAATAAAGAAACACAGTACACATAATGCGGGAGGGATGTGTGGGAAACTGAAAACTTTACTGCTAATTAGACCACTGGAGTGGTCCGAAAAGAACTTAGTATAGGAAATGTAGTATATTATGTACTAATAATTAAAACCAAACACAATTAACATAAATCTATGTAAAAGCATGCATAAATGTTCTCCCTCGAGGCACTGCATTAGCTGTGCAGCTCATCATGCTTCAGATGTTTCAGGCTAATGAAACATACTGTAGTGTTTTATCGTCAAGTCATTAATGCAGAGGCAAAAAAGTGGCTATTTCTAACTTTTAATCTACTCTTCTCTTTTAATGACAATTTCTCAATGATGTTTTAGCATTTATTATGATATGTAAAGAAAATGATCTTACAAAGCTAAAAATTCATCGATTTTTATTGAGTTTGTGTTACAAACATCCATTTTGAGCGAGAAAATGCATGAACAGGAATCTACTACGCCCTTCAGTTTAAACCTATTACAATTACTTTGCTGAAACAAATCACTACTAAGTGATAAGCACTTCACAACTATCACAGTGCATCCAGCAATAAAGGCAGCATCATGCTTCTTAATAAAGTGAACACATGGTAGCACAGATGATGCCATACATTTTACAATGCTGAATGTAGACAAGCTCACATCCCAACTTCTGGGGAAGGGAACTTCACTGAAGTCTCTAGGGCAGTGGTCACCAACCCTGGTCCTGGAGATAGGCCTGCCACAATCGTTGTTTAGTTCAGGATTATATGACATATAAAAAATATGATTTAACAATTTCATAGTATTTTTTTTGTATGTTATTTGGATGCAACTGATAAAACCCAAGCCTAAAGTGGTCAAACTGCTTGCTTCCTAGCTGTTAATACTTACGCTGCATTCGACTAAGCTGGCAACTCCAAATTTAGCACCCCCACCAAGAAAAAATACAAGGAAACAGGACCTCAACTGAGAAATCTTAACTCAGTGTATTACTTCAAATCAACATGGCTCCTCACAAAGTCAATAGTACTGAACCACTTCTCTGCTTTTATAAGAGATTTGTTTAGATCAGTCAACATATGATTTGAACTAAGACCCATAATATGTCTCAGTAAACATATTTTATGGTTTCTTTTATTTGCACGCATTTGCCTGAACCTTACAGATAAAAACGCACCAAATTCATATTCTGTTTTTTATTCTGTTTTATTGACTATAACTGTGAAAGTTCATATAACTGGAGAACAATTGTGACAAGCTCAAATAATTCTGCTAATGTGATTATGTAATAATTGTGACTGTCCTTTCTGGGAGTCTACCTCCATCCACAATATGCCAGCTACATAACTTATTCAAAAGTCCTTGATTGGGGTGGCAGTTTTTAAGATGCATGTTGGAACTAAACAATAAACTAAAGAATGCAGATCTTCAGGAGAAGGGATGGTGACCACTGCTCTAGGGGGTCTTCACTAATTATAACTGATGACATAATGTAAAATAGGGTTAAGGCCCAAAGGTAAACAAAGTAAATGTGAGACTGGAGAGAGAGAGACATTAAGAAAGGCCCGTGAAAAGAGAGAAAGAGATACAGTAAGATGGCCCATGGCTCAGTGTGGAGGGAGGGGGCCAAGGGGGGTGGGGGGTTAACTGAGTGGTTACAGCACAGGGTCAACGTGTGAACTGACCTTTCGTCCGGAGTCGGTGCTTCCACACTCGCCTTTATCGTACCACCATTTGTTTTTCAGTTTGTCTAAGACGGCTTGCTCATTGTGTTTCAACACCGCTAGGTTTATGGGGATTCTTCAACCAGGGAAATAACATAAATAACATGGCGCATGTTATTTTATGTTATTTGGCACACGGTCAAACACCCGCACACACACACGTACACACACACACACCCATCTGCATCAACTCAAGCGTTCTTTTTACATTTTAGCTCCACTCTCACTCACATCAGAAAAAAAGACATTTTGACAGTTCATAGTGAAAGTGATATGCATTAATACTCCATCTAGCCATGTTGCCTTGCTCCCTGCTGCGAGATGTGTATTACTATATCACTTTGGGTAACCGGCAGGCTGAAAACACTCTGCTGTGGCTTTTCTATCCAAAACAGGGACTTTATGTGCTGTACGAGGCATCCAAAAACCAATCTCCAAAAAGAGTTTAGATCAAACACTTGTTCATTCCATTCCATGGCTTTTTTTGGCAGTTTTGGCCAGAGTGTTTGGTCAGCGTGGAGTTGCCGGTTACCCACCCCGTGGTACTGGATCTTTACCCGCTGGGTTTGTCACATGGGGGCTGACCTTGGAATCACCTCCCCCGCTGCCGCACTCGCCCTTGTCGTACCACCATTTGTTTTTCAATTTGTCCAACAGGCCCTGCTCGTTCAGTTTTAACACTGCCAGGTTTACTGGGTTTCTTGAAACGATAATGAGACAATAGTGTGGTCAGTGGCAGTTTCAGGTAGAGTCTTGTCTTGAGCTTAGCGAGAGTTTGAGGGGTTAATGCATGAAGCAGTAAGGTTGAGCTGAGCCTGCGTAATGTGTATGTTAAGGAATCTTTTCATGGAGAACAATGCTTTTGTTAGTAGTCTATCGCGAAAGATGGGTTTTACCAAGCAGTGGGCAGAACCTCAGGGGATAAAAGAAGATATCAGGTCTGTCTTAGATATGCTTACTGTGTCATCACTCATAATCTTTCCCCTTTCATCAGGTGCAAAAATACAGTGGCTAACCTAAGTTATGTGTTAACCCTTAGAAGTTGCAGTAATTGCTGAAAATAACAAAAGCATTTGTTGTAATTTGATATTAATTGACTTGTTTCTCACTTATACTGTACAGTACATGTCAGAGAACTTCTCATGATCTAAATCACAAACACATTGAGGTCTGGACTCTGAGAACACCAGCAGCTTCTTTGTACATTTTCTTCTTTTTTCTTAATTTTCCTCTTTTCTCAGTAATGACTACTTTGCAGCTACATATGTTTTCAGACTCATAGGCTATGTTCTCACAGCAGGTAAAAGTGGCCCAAATCCGATCTTTTTCTTCAAAACACATAATTTGACTTTTTTAATTGTGATTTGAGACGCTTTTATAAGTGGTACCGAAATCTGAAGCGTATCCGATATGTGGCAGTGTGACTCAGTCTTGCACGGCTGTTAGACGTCCTATGCTCTGTATCTTTTCATCATTTTTCAAACTCCGGCTTTTACCAGTCATTTTAAAGTGACTTTGCCCTTCCTTACACAAGTGGATTATCTTATATCTATATCTCCTCAGAAATATCTCCTGAAAAATGAATAACTGGTATTCAACATTTTGACTGGAATTGAAATAAATGAAAGGTGCTCTCTGACTTCTGCACAGCACAGCGAAACAAGAAATTCAGTCAAACATGCAGACTTCCAACAGTCAATATGACATTTGTGTTAACACGGAAGGTAAACTGAATGTAAAAGTAATTCATTATGTAAATACCTGTGTAATAATAGCACAATTATTTAATTACATTGGAATAGTTTAGCAAAATGAAAATAACTCTAGACTTCTAAGGGTTAGACAGTCTCAGAACTGTGTATTGTTTCTCAAATCTCATGCAAAGGGTTGAATTAAAAATTCTAGCTTAATTTCAACTGTGTAATACACAGAGCACCACCTAAGGGAAAACACTATGCACTCTGTAAGCATGTCTGAGACATTTATCTGTTACCCACACCTTTACCCCTAAGTCCTGCACACCACCCACAGTTTAAAGGCACGGACACACATTTGATTGCACAGCATCTTGCACAATGGGCTGGTCAGCAATGCAAACAAACATGGTCCATACCCTTGCACCTGCAGGGAGTGATTCGGGCACTCAGTAAAACCCAAGGAGTTCTTTCTAACCCCAGAAGAGCAAGACCGAAAGAAACGAGAGAGAGAGAGCGAGAGAGAGAGAGAGAGAGAGAGAGAGAGAGAGAGAGAGAAAGAGAGAAAGAGAGAGAGGTAAAGTGTTCATGAGGTACAGACACCTACATTCAGTCTGATGAGAATATGCTTTAGGAGGCAGCAGTGCTGTTGGTGAGATGATTTTATTGACTGAGCGCGGTGGGAAATGGGAGCAGATGGATAAGGAGAAAAGGGTAAGACACAGCGGTCAGCTAGAGTTACTTCACCACTATATAATCTAGCTGAGGGCTCAACTCTGAAAGGGTACAATGCAAATTTGCGACAGCGGTCAAAATGCATCGATCTGTCATTCACTTAATTGATTTTTTTTAAGTACAAGAACTTGAAGTGACAAATCAAATGTACACAATTTCCTCCCTCACGCCAAATATAATCAATCAGCTGAGAATGAGAACATTTCATGACTCAAGTTTGCTTCTTTAGTTTTGCACTGGAGCTATGAAGCTAGTGTACATAACAAGTGATTGAAGTTTATAGCCATCACTATATCAACACCTGCCCAAACCACACTGAGTTGTTAAGCTGAGGTCAATTAGACTTCCTTTTGTGATTTCTGGCACAAGATGACATATTTTTATATATACATACAGACAAAAGTACACTGTATATCTAAAAACAGCATAAGCAGACATTTAGAACCCTGAATTGTACTTGTACTTTTGTCAATTTTTCACTGAACTATCAGAACTTAGATCTGAATATAAGCCAATTGATCAATCAAGGTAAATACAACGACTTTTACTTAATAGCAGAATCTGACATGCAGGAATCATCCTGAAAGTTGGTAATATCAGGACATCCCTGGAGGTTATATCTGATCATGCTGGAATTCCATTCACACGGGGCAAATGACAACTAAGGATGCGCATGAGTGCTTGTCTAATCGTCTGAGATACCAGTATTTGAATACGGAAATAACTATTCAAGCATTTGTTACGTTTCATTACAGGAAATATACATGCTATAATCATTTCAATACAGTGAAATGATCATATTGTATTTTAGCTGGGCTGTAAAACATAAAGTTTTGCTTGTATTTAGAAGTACTTCAGTGTGTTATATTAATGGTTGCTACTGAAAAATGCAAGTCCCTTAAGGTATAGCTCATTGCAAAGGACAGGCTAATAAGGATATTACTGTAAAGGCAGAGATAGAGCATCCAGCTCTGTTGCTGCTTTTTCACTAATTAGGCTAACTACTCTCTATGCTTGGTACGTCCAGATAAAGAAAGGACAAAATAGCAACTAGACACATTGTCCATTGAGGAGAAAATACCTCATGCAGAAGATAATGAGTCCTGATCAGCATCAAACTTTGGGCCAGTTTGCTGTAGTATTAGCTCATTTGCTCATCTGAAGAGGCAGCCTGCGTTACTCATCCGACATGACAATGAAAAATTTCCCTTGGCTATTTATGACTATTAAAACCAGCTTTCAAATGTATTATTTTTTTAGCCACCTATGCTAGGGATGTTATGATATACATGTTAATATTCTATTTTTTTTCGATACTGGGGTTGCGAGACGTCATAAGGGGAATGGTTTCTATAGTTCAATTTAACACTATCCATGACAGTCCTTAATTAGGCTGCCTTGGGCGAAAGTTAGCTTCTTATTCGCCAGCTTCTTGTTCGAATGACCCAAATGGTGTTACAATCTGACACCCGAGGAAAATTCAAATATGAAGCTGACTTCAGCTTTGGCTATCTTGGATGGCTGATTAGCCAAGCTGTTTGTAATGATGAGCGGAGAAAACTAACATTAGCTGGAAAGAGCGATGTGAACTCATCTGAACTCATTTGCCGGTGTGAGGACTCCATACAAGCACTGTGCAGGTATCAAGCACTCATGCTAATATCTGAACCATGCTAACTCCTTTGTGAAAACTTTTTTTTGTGAAAAATGACACAGTTAGTGTAACTTCAGCAGGTATTTCTCCACACATGATTCAAACAGCCGACAAGCACCGATTCTGAACAGGCCAAACAAGTCCACAGGGATATTTATAGCTTCTAATAGCTAGTCAGCTGTAGAGAGTCCTGGATTCTGTAGTCTGCTGGGAGTGATTACACCATGTTAGAAAATCCCTCTCTCACTCACTTCAGCCAGAAGTCCCACACTTTCTATACTAAAACACTAGACCTGGCTAAAAATGAAAAGCACAGTCAGATTAATACTGAGATGTAGCCTTACAGTTCATACATTTATATTATTATTATTTTATATTTATATTATTTACATTATATTTATTATTATGAACTGTGATAACACACGTTTGCCAAACAGATGTGCAACATGTAATATACCTCTTGCACTTTTGTTTATATCATTTTTATTTTATTTATGTATTATTTATTTATTTTATACATTCTACGAAAATGACTTATGCAACCTATCCCCTTCATTTTCAGAATTACCATACAGGAATGAATGAATGAATAAATGAATGAATAAATAAATGAATGAATAAATAAATAAATCTGTATCATATCGTGATGCAAAAACGACAATACATATCGCATTGTGAAAGTTATGCATTATTGCAACCCTACCTAACATCAAAAAAACGTAAGTCTACTGCTCTATGTTAATTCCAGCTTTTAAAAATGTTGGTTTACTTTTTTCTTTGCTGTAGTTAACCTAGTATACTTTCAAGAACTCTTATGGATACTCAAATATGAAAACTGGTCAGAATGCACATCCCAAGTGACGACCCCTTGTAAGGCTGGATATAGTTAGATATCCTTGTATGTCTGTAAGCTATATTTGATATGTATGTATAGTTGTATACAGCTGTGATATGTCAAATTTCCCTACTAAATGAAAAAGAGTTAAACAAAAAAGCAATTCAAAGTCAAATCATGCTTTGGAGCAGTACTATGCATTTTGACCACTGTGCTGCACACATAGATGGCATAACCATAAAAAATAACCTTCTGTGTCTGTGCATAGGACCCTCATTGCTCATCTTGCCAGAGACTCCTGATGTCTTTGTAATTTTCTGTGATAGGCTGTAAACTAGTACAACGGTATACTGGTATACAGTGCCTAACTCTTCATTAGATCTAAACAGGTCACTCGTGAAGGAGTCCCTCTCTCAGGGTTTATCAGAGAGCAATAAAGGTCCAGCACAGTGAATGTATGTCACACAGGACGTAATTTAGCTAAATCGTTTGCTTAGAAAGAGCATGCTGACTTTCTCTCCATCTCTCGCAAGCAACCATGTGGAGGCAAAGAAGCGCACTGGCCAATTCATTTCCCTTTCCCTCTCGCTGACACTGGGACGACTGCAGAGAACAGAATTTAATTTGACTCTTGCCTTAGGTGGCATGTTGAAAGTCAGTCTTTTTACATCCTGTAGCCAATGTCTTTTTTTCCCCCTCCCTCTCTTTCTTTCCTTCCATGATCACGTTGCTATAAGGTGACCCACAAAATGACAGTACAATTGCTAGCAGGTCTTTCCCCCAAGGAGCTTAGCTTATTAGAGGGAGATGGAGTTTATTGAGGTTATTCCAGCAGCTCTAAATCGCCCTTCTGAGCCCCCTTTGCACTGTAGTATCACATGTGCAGTGGTGTGTTAGTTGTAAGGGTTAGCACTAACAACATGAATATCATTGATGACAGCACCATAGTGTAGGAAATACAACAGCAATACCACAAAATCAAAATGAACCACACATCTAATTCACCTTGACATTCATTCCAGTGACTTGCATAAGATTGAAATGGAAATACAGTAGACTTTTAATATTGCTGTTCATTTTATACTAAGGGTGTAACAATTTTCAGTGTTACAGTATTGAAAAAATCGATACTTCATTGAAATGAGATGGTCTTTCATTCACTGTCTTTTGTTGCCAAAGCTCAAAACTAGACATGTGGGTGCATTCTATCAAATTTTAATTTATAGAATTTTATAATTTTTGGGCTTTCAACTAATCACTACTGTTTCTGGCATTGGCATGACAAGAACTAAGATGACAGATCAGTAAATGCTAGCTTTTCTAAAATTCTCAGCATTTTAGCATTTGATCTGTTGTCTTTGTAATATTTTCCTTTAATTATAGAGTTTAAATAATTCTGTTTTTATTCACATTTTGCATGACATCCCAAGGTTTTTGGAAATGGGGTTGTACAACTGCTAAAATGATCTAAATAAATCGTCCAATTACCCATCATTAGGAACATGGCCAATTATGATTGTGCACCCCTAGTACAAAGCATAGCACTTCAAGATATTCTATCCATTGTTTGTGCCATGAACAAAAAGGCAACATTTTAAAAAAAAATTATGTCCACTGGGTTTAGTTTTGGATGCATTCTGGTGTTGTTTATTCACGTTGAGTGTTGGTGTGTAAAGGGCTGAGGTCAAATAGAACAGTTTTAATTATGTTTGAAGACATTTTTAACACATAAAATGTCATATCGAACTTGAAAATGTATGTATTATTATATCCCTATTTTATACATGTATCATAAGAGGCAAATACCTCCACAAACAACAAGACGTGAGGGTAAAGGCTACTGGTGGTTTTGGACTAAGTGATGTCCAAGGAGTCTCATTGTGCTTAAGCACAAACACTAGTATTCAATGAGAGGGTCCTGAACACAAGTGCTTTCTGAAGCGTGTGCCATTTTTCCACCATTTCTTATGCAAGCACTCGAGTTCAAATCAGCCGAAAAATCTCCACTCTCGGTGAGAGCTGCAAGGAGTCCTGGGCTGATTCATGCACAGCAACACACCCCACCACAGATGCGCACACACACACCACTGCGCTGCGTGGCAATGGAGGCTACATGGTACAGTCTGTTTTTCCACTCATAGGAAAAAAAAACTGTAGTTTGTGTACTATAAAGGGAAACGGCTAAAAGCATTTTAGGATGAGCTCTCACAGACCATTTGCAAAACAAAATTTGCAGGCTCTTGGTAGCAAAATGTGTGTTGATAATAGGAGTCCATACAAATTCCAAATGAGCAGGCCCAACTGATTCCCTCAAAAACATCACACAGCCTCCATTCCCAGCAAACCACCAACTTCATTTATTTCCATAAATAACTTGTATACAATCCAGTCATGCAAAGCACAGGATGGGACCGTAGAGGGTGTCGTGCTTTACCTGAGTGACGATCCTTTTGGGGTAGCGACTCCGTATCCCTTAGAGTCCAGGTTTCCGCCCACCTTCATGGTGTCGCAGGGTTTGCGCTGTTCGATGTACTCGTTCATGGTGGACTCCAGCAGGTAGGCGTACTTCCCTTTCGACTTCCTCACCCTCACCACTCCTTCATCTGTGGTCTTTACAAACACTGAGGGGTCTGCTGACTTCATGTAAGACCACATCTTCTCAAACACAGCAATCTTTGACCTCTGTGGAAGACAAGCATAACATAAAGGAAGGAGCTTTTTACACACAGGAAAAAGGCTGTAGACATTTTACAGCTACACATTGTTAGGGAGGCAGCAGCTTCGGTTTAATTAAGCCTGGCGATCAAAGTCTATTATAAACAAATCATACCCCATTTAAATATTTTAACATTTATCAAAACACAAGCGCTTAATTTGTGCCAGAGCTCAGCTCTAGCACCTCTAAGTTTGAGCCACCTGTGTTCCAGGACCTCCAGCTGTGTTGCGAGACCTCCACATTTGCATAAAATATGTATTTTTTTATTGTACAAACAAATTAAAAAATAAAAGCCTGTAATACAAAGTGGCAAAACACTAGACACCACTGGCACCATATGCAAGCTGAAATGAAAATGAGTCTCTGTAGAAAAGTAAAAAAATGAAGAATGTGACACATACACACTAAAAATATATAATGCAGGTGACAATATCAACCATGTTTGTGACATATTGTGATGTAATTTGTCATGATGGCAAAAATACAGTTACACTGCCCACCTACAGTCTTTTATTTTAAATTTAGTATAGGCTTTTTAAGGCCTGACGAGATGCATGAAAATTACTTTCAATTAATAGAAAATGACACTGTAATTTGCTTGTTTACTCATTATTGCTCTTGTTATACCACCCCACCTCCTAGCATCTAATGTTAACCTGGAAATTTAAGTTTTTTACAATTAATGATTATATATTGTTGCAGATTCTGAAGGATTCATTTGAAAATGTTTAGCATGGATGAAATGCATTATAAATACGAGGGACATATATTCAGTGTTTCTCACAGATTTGGAATATACTTTGGTGCCTAGGCAGAGAGCGTAGGGACACTGACTCTAAAGCTTAAATAATAACAAAATTTTTTTTTACAATGATTTCACTCAGCTATTACAAATAAACACTGTTTTACAACTCATTTACAAGACTATGTAGGTATGCCAGTTACATACAAATACTGATAACACTTTTATTTACAGGCTTTATTTGGCATCTTTCTGTCTTATTTGATCATTAGTGATGTATTTTTCACTACAGCCTACCAGCTGTTTTTATCCACTCTGGCAGGAGAATAACAGTGAACTGAAGTGTTTATGACTCACAGAAGTATCTAGAATCGTTGGCAAATGGGGTTAAACACGTTGAAAACGAAGACACATGTTGGATTCTTTTTTCTTTTCTTTCTTTCACTCGAATATCGACCACTGAAATGACCAACATCTACTACACTAAGATAAAGTCATTTCTTATGACAGTATTTCATGAAAAGTTTCAGCTAACTTAATGCCTGTAAAGTGCTGCTCTGTGTTTTTGCACACATCAGAGTACCTGAGCTATGAGTCTCCTCCTCCTCATGTAGCTTATCATTAAGAATACTAATCTCTTAAGGACATATTATATGACTCACTAGTGTAACTGCAACCAGTTGCAGTTCTTTGGAACTAGTTACATGTAGTAGCTAGCTAATTTATGCTGCTCACTCTCTTTCTGTCTCCTTCACTCACTCTCAGTCTGCCCTTCCCTCAACCTGAATTGTGCTAAAAAAATTACACATCAGGGTTGGACTTCCAGACTGTAATTACGTCGACATTAAACGCATTCATTTTGTTGTCTTTCAGTAACTGCACTCAAATATTTCAGTTTTGTTCCATCAACAATTGAATTTTATGCTGATGACAAAGTCAAATGACAAAGTCCTTTTATGCTGACTCTGCTCTGTTTGATTGAATGGTAAACATGTGGCATCACTGAATTTAGTTCATACAATGATTTATTTTGAGTTTTCAAATTCAAACCACACTGCCACTGTGTATAACTCTGTTACTGGTACCAAATTTTAGTGTTTCAGTGAGACATGGGAGTACATTTGAGCTAAAAACTATATGAGGGGCCCGATAAAAACTTTACATCCAGAGAGTGATTGTACCTCCACTACTGTCTGTGACGTTAAAAGTCCTCCGTACTCCAATATCTAAAATACCCCTCACTAGAGCCCTGCTAGTAGCAACCATGAGCTCCAGCACCTTGTGACTTACAAATATAGCATTGCAAAACATTTCTGAATTACAGTCTTTACAACCCGTTGACCCCCTCACCCTGAAGAACTCTTTGGTGGAGCCGGCGTCCAGCGTGCCATAAGCGATCTCCGTCTGCTTGGCCAGGTCTTCAGCGCTCTCTATAGGAGACACCATTCTCTCCACTGTGAGGAAGGCCGCCAGGTTAGCCGTGTAGGAGGAAATGATGATGAGGGTGAAGAACCACCAGACACCACCCACGATGCGGCCTGAGAGGGACCTGCATGGAAAACAAACACGCACACACATGAAGACGTGCAAATAATATTAGAATCTGAATCCTTCAAGAAATAAGAGAAATCCTGTTTTATAGGTTAAGTTTTCTCGTAAGTTCTGCATAACTGAGTTGTTCAGATATAAACATTCAGAGTGGTTTGATATAAAATGTACGATCTAGAGAAGTTTACTAAGCCGAATTGTTCCCAGTGGTGGTGATATGAACCAGATGTTTGAATGGCTTAATCATGCTACCTTATATGATAGTTTTGAGATAAGGTTTTGGCCTAAAACACATATTGTTTTAAAAATATATTCATAGTGTAGGGCAATATAAGGCAAAATGTTTTCAAATTTTCATTTAGCACTACATTACCTTTATCAATATTACATATAAAAACCCCAGACACATTTAGATTATATGCTATACTGTTCATTTTGGATAGCACATATATAATAAATATTTTTGTGTTGTAGACATGTAAGCCCTGGTTCCTATCACCACCACTGTAGAGAAAATCAGAGTTGGCAAGTTTCTTTAAAATGCACCATTTCACATCAGACCACTCTGAATGACTTTGTTTACATCTCAATGATTGAATTATGCATAACTTTTGAAACCTCGCCTTTAATACACCATCAGGATGCATAATTCTTAGCAGGTTAACTGGATACTGCAACAGACAGTAGTATGTAAATAAGCCCTTTAACCCTTTAATGCCATGTCTACTCTTCTGTTTAATAGCACGTTTGTTACATTTATTTTGGTATGATTTACATGATCTTACAAAGCTGAAAATTCTATTTTTTATTTTACGTCAACCATTTTGAACAAGAATCTAATTCTACTTCTAAGAATCCACTTCACACTTGAAGTCACCTTTTATTGCTACAGTGAAGAACCAAATGAATAATAAGACCTTAGTAATGTGAATTCTGTTCTGAATGTCTGCTTAGAAATTACTGTCATGCATCCAGCAATTAAGACAGCATCATACTTCTTATATACAGTGATAGAAAACACAATAGCAGACAGAAAGCTCCAATTACATATGCTTTTTATTATTCCCAATGCGCACATCTTTCTGCAACTCAGGGGACAGTTGAGTTAAAGTGGATACTGCTGAATGTATAACCCTTTGTTAAGAATATGGAACAATACATACATAACATGATCTCTCAGCAGCCTAAAAGGATGGAAATAAAGAAGTTAAAGTCTACAGATTTAGTCACAATGTGAAGGCTCATTGCTAAATATTTCCAGCATTAGCTAAGCTAGCAAACAGTGAATCAGCTATTGAGGCTGTCACCATTTTCTGTTTTATCTGTTTTCTTTCAGGGGGCTCATCAGAGCTCTGTCGTTCACCCACAGCTGTCTGAGGAACCTCAGTTTTGCTGTATTATGTAGTTGAACATGTAAAAATCACACCATGAACTGAGCATCACATCACAGCAGTTACATGCACTTAGGATAGTTGTTAAGACTATAAAGATAGCAATGACCAAATATCACAACTATAACACTAAAGGATGAACACCATCATGCCTGCAATGACAAAAAATGTAACATAAAATGCTTTTAAACAGGGCAACTTTAAAAACTGTAGATAAAACTTAAATGAACTGTAGATTAAAAAATACATGCAAATTAAGAAAAATCAACGAAACCACATTCAGTGCTGTGAAGCTTCACTCTGGTCACTACAATATTTAGAGCCAGAATGGTCAAGACTGTCCAAAGTATGTTTCCCTGTATGCCTTAGTTACAAATAATACCTAATCACTGTGAAATCTGATGTTTACATCTGCTAAGCTATGATTGGTTTATCAGTGTTTCAGAGTCATGTTTTAGTGTAAAGTGGGGGCAGGCTTAGACCCGGACGGAGCAATGACTGACAAACTCCTCAGCCAAACAGGGTATTCCCAGGGAGCGCGGCATACAAAACGCACTCACAGAAAGCTTGGTAAAATGATGTGCTCTGTGATCAAATTCCTCACACATGACAGAATATTTTGGTACATTTTGGTACATATACAGCAATGTCGTATATTGTCCATATTAGGCATCCCTAGAATACAGCTCAGACACTAGAGCACCTGGTACTTTTTCACTCCATCCACATCTCCGGAAAGCTACACCCCACATACCTCCGCCTGCTTCCAGCTGATGTTTACACTGCTCAGATGCATTGTGTGCGATACACTGCTCTATATGTGCTCAGCTCTTACCTCTCACTAAAATGTGTTTAACCGAGATAAGACCTATCACAATAGAACCCTGCAACCACTCATTAATCTCACTTTCAGAACGGTGCCGGTATGTTTAATGAACATATGCATATTAATTGCCTGGGATTAATCGAACCAGGAGCGTTTAGCCTCCACTGTAATTGCAGTTTGCAGGGAAAAAATGATTGGTGTCTAAATCCCTCAGGAGCTTTATCTCTCCCAAGTGTATGTAGATCATACACAACTAATGTGTGTATGTGTGTGTGTGTGTGTGTGTGTGTGTGCATGTGAATGCAGGTGTGTATGTGTGTGTCACAATATCTGAGTGCATCAACAATAGAGGCGCAGCAACTGCAACAGAAAAGCAACAGGAGCTTGAAAGGTTACTGGCGGAACAGGTCTGATAAAACGCAAAAACAAAAACAAAGCATAATCACTTAAGCTGAAACGAGCGTGATGAAAGGATGACAAGGTTGAAACAAACCGAAAACAAAGGGAGCGGTGCGAAACGAAGGCTCTGAATGAGCTGACTTTCAGAGGGCAAAATAATAATAATAATAAAATGGTGAAAAACAGTAAAAAGCAGGGGTGTAAAAACACATCATTGAAACAGGATGCACTGATTTGAAGGTGGTGATTCATCTGTATCAATTTTGGAAAATTACAATCAAATGTATTATCAAAGTAAAGCTTATTATTCAGTAACTACAGGACTTGAATGCTGGTTGAGCTATTCATAGGCATATATATGTGTGTGTGTGTGTGTGTGTGTGTATTACTTTTTTTTAGCAAACCTCAGTGACAGTGTACAGGATGGTACATATGCCAGTGAATAAATATTAATCTTCAAGCTGAGTATGATGAGCAAAGCTTTTTTAGGATGAACGTGAACATTTTTCAACTTAATCAGTGACATTCCACATCGGAAAAATATGTGTTCCATGGCAGAACAAGCATGCCAGCGGAATCTGCATCCTGCTGTAGAATCCACTGTCTGAATGCAAGTGTAGCTCCACTGGTCTTTATCATTTCACCTTAAACACATGCCTGTATGATGATTATGACTGAGATAGTTAACACATTTTAGCATATTAACTTTCACTCAAAAACAGATGTACATGCTATCACCTCCATGTTTGACTGCTGGTAAGATGTTCTTATTGTGGAATGCTGTGTTAGCTCTACACAAAATGTAACAGGACCCCTGTCTTCCAAAAGGTTCCACTTTCAATTCATCAAAAGGTTTGAATGTCATCAAGGTGTTTTTTGGCAAACATAGGATGAGCCTTCTTGTTCCTTTTGGTGAGCACTGTTTTTTGCCTTGCAAATGGCTAACGGCAGCGGTGGAATCACGAATGCTGACCTTATCTGAGATGAACGAGACCTGCAGTTACTTAGGTGTTCATTAGGGTTCTTTTGTGACTTGCTGAACGTTTTCTCCATCAGGAATTAATAGCTCTCACTGTGATTCACTGATCCCAATGATCCCAACTACTTACTTTTTCACACAGGGCCAGACAGTGTTGGATAACATTTTTTTCCTTCAATAAATGTAATGATCATTTGAAAAACTGTGTTTTGTGTTTATTCAAGTTGTCTGTCTTATATTAGATTTTGTTTGAAAATCTGAAATAAGGGTAACAAAACAGAAAAACAGAAGAAAGCAAACACTTTTTTACAGCATTGCATGACAGTGACAACAGCAGTGAGACATAAAGCTCCAGTTTCAGACTGCTCGCACCCCTGGCCAATCTGTAATGCATGAATCAAAGGTTGTGGTATTTTTTAACTTTTCAGCCACACCTGCGAGGCAGACCTAATCCCCTGGTACCTCTGCAGTTCAGACTGACATATGTGATTGGTTTAAAACACTGAGGGAGTCCTGGAGGACTGTACCTGCAGGAACATAAACAAACCCCGCAGTTAGCGGCTGCTCTGGCTAATCCTGCCCCTCTCTGCTGGAGCCATGGCTGAGGTGAGTGGTGACAGCGTGAAGTCTCCGTTCACAGGGCCCGGCCAGCGGGCTCCATTCAGGCCCATGCAAAAAATTTGTGAATGAACAATTCTTACGCTTTGTCCATTTCCCCTCAATGAGCCGCCACTGTGATGCTAACATCCCGTCCCTGACCCTTTATGGGGTAACTGATTTGTGCCAAACAGACCGTTCTGCATGTATTTGCTGCACTGCTGAGCCACTGCTGCGAAATGTAGCTTTGCTGAGAGTGCTGAGCTTTTACTGCCAGCAGCTATGAAGCTATAAAGCTGCAATAAATTCATGATTTATATTGATATAGCTACATCAATATCAATATTCTGAATATCAATGTTCAGACTGACACAACTGCTTGATAATGGTAATCAGCAGAGCACATGTGCTGAGTCAAATGTTATCAAGTCTAGAGTTACTGTCATTTTGCTCTGTTTGCTGTTTAAATGTATCCCCATAATTATCAACCTGAATACATAGTTCATTACAATTATATTAACATAATGAATTACACAACTTATATTTATGCCTGCATTTGATTTACATTCCACAAGTTTGAATAAAAAATTCCAACCATTTTCTGCTTGTTTTGATGTCAAACAATGAAAAAATATAGCAAAAATGTAGAAAAGAATTTTTACTTTTCACAAAACGAGCCTGTACACATCACCAATAACTTTTCATCAAATTCAAATGATAAAATCTACTTACAAAATTACACTTACAAACACAAATTTAGTACCCTTTGAAAGTTTAGAATCTGCAGTTTGGTCTAGTGAGCCAATGAC